TTTTGGGGCTCTGTGGAAGAGCTCCCTGAGCCAGGACTGCCCGCTTGTATGAGGAAGGCGAGGAGCCCCAAGGGTTCGAGAACGAATTCAGGCTCCAGGCCAATCAAAGCTCATGGCCTGCCGTGTCCTCAGGCCCTCCTGCCTGGTCTTCCAGCGTGTGCCTTGGCCCATTCGGAGTGACCCTTCTTCAGGAGGCCTGGGGGGCTTCCATGCTGCCTGGGAAGGTGACTTTCCCTCAGTGCCCCATTTAAGCCGTACCTGTTTCAGTGGGGTGGCCCAGCCATGCCGCCCTCTTGTGCTCATCGTTAGGGGTGCAAAGGGAGGACTTCCTCTTGGTCCTGTGGCCACGTCTGTGGTCACTGAGAACAAGAGCAGGACCTGTTTTCAACGAAAGTTGCTTGCTGCACATCGGCCTTCCCCAGTCTGGTGTCCTGTAGGCCCATGTGGACCACAGCTCCCAGAATCCCCATCCACCGGGTGGTGCACTGGGAATTCTGGGCGTTGCAGTCCAAACGTGTCTGGAAGGCCGAAGGCGGCGAGGCCTGAATGAAGGATCAGATGCTGCTCCGTTCCATGGCAGTCCAGCAGAGGGCGCCTGGGCCACGCTTTGCTTCTCTGTGTCACGCACTGTAGGCACGTCGGAGGGTGCCGTCCCCTTTCCGTCGATGGGAGCTCACTGATTTACGGCCCTTTAAGGCACTGTACAGACGGAAATGTGCTCTCTTCTCTGATTTACCCCATAAAACACCTGCGAAAAGAGCACCCCCCTCCGCCTGCTTCAAGCAACATTTTCAGTACCATTTGGCACCTGGAATATTTTGTGGTGCAGATTTGCTGCGGGCGATGTGGTGCCACAGACATGCCCTTCACTTTTGGAGAAAGTCCCTGGGCCTTGCTGTGGGGTCGTTCTGCTGTCATTTCAATTAATCTGCCCACCTCTGGGCTCCCTGTGTGGCTGACAGAAAATTGGAAGCAAAACGAGTCAGAAAGGACCTCCTGGGTCATCTAGGCAGACCCGGCTGCAGCCGGCTCCGCACCTGTAATCCCCTAGATGTGATTGTCCCATCTTATGGAAACAGAGACAGAGCAATTTCCGGCAATAAAAACTACACAACATTCCAAAACAAATCGCACTAAATCATTGTATTAGCATCTTATTAACAGCAGAATATGCTAAAAGTAGCACATCAAAATTAAACTGCTAAATAAAAGCAGCAGAACAGAACAATTCAAAGCCTGAAACAAAACCTTGAAGGTTACTTCTGCCTAGGGACAATTCGGCATGTGACACGTGTTTGGGGGTTGAGGTCAAGGTGAGCCCCCCTCCCCACCCCCCATGAGGCTGCCAAAGGAGGCCTGGAATGGTGACCACTGCCGGCTTCCCATGCAGGGCCAGCGGTTCAGGCTGGATAGGACAGGCACGTTTCCGTCCGTGCCCTGAGCTTGGTGCCCGGGCTGGGGGGTGGGATCAGACCTCACCTGGCCTTTGGATGCGCAGGCCAGGCTTGTGCAGGCCTTTCCCAGTGACACGAGAGCGTCTGTGGATGGACGGCCCCTTTGCACGGCCCACGGACCCATGACGGTGTGCAGGCTCTCAGCTGGGCAACCCAAGGCAAGCCCAGCAAGCGATGGGGCCCGCCATGATTTCGTGGCCCTCTCGACATGGGGCGGGGCTCCCGTGTCAGGGTGAGGGCTGTCAAGGTCCTAGCAACCGGCTCCTGCAAGCAAGGGTGGGGAGGGGAAGCCCTCTGCTCCTGTGGCATCCCACGGGATTGTGCGGGGTGACCATGGCGGGGAACATGGTGCCCAGTAGCCGCAGTGTATCGACTCATCGGTCCAGTGCTTCAGGCTCCTGGGGGCTCCAAGCCGGAGTGCAGGGCCCTGGGCCAGCGTATTGTGCGAACTTGGCTGGTGACTGACCCGAGGCCAACTGGGGAGGTTTGTGGCAGGACCTGCAGGTGAGCCCAGCGAGAAAACGCCGCAGCTGTGGATCTTCATGCTAGTGAATCCACATAGCTGATGATGCTAATTTCTCCATCCTACTCGCAGCGAAATCCCTGTCAGGAATCTGGACCTTCCAGTGAGTCCGTCCAAGCGGTCGCCATGCCTACTCAGTCCGGGATATTTAAAGCTGCCCCCGTCTCCGGCTCCATGCAGCCTCGGACACAATCAGCAGTAAGAGCAGCAGCAGAAAGCCGGCTGCTGCGAGGCGCAGTTTGGCCTCCACAGGTGAAGTTGCCGTAAGAGCATTTTCTGCAAAAGCAAGGAAGAGCGAGTCACACGGTGGTGGGTGAAAAAAGAAAATCGCGTTGGCCACGAAGTCCGCCTGCATTCCGTTTTGCAGCCTAAACATGCACAGACGCCGGCGGACTTGGGGGCTGGTCCGCTGCTTTGCCTGCCCAGGTGGCAAGCGAGCCCATCCGATGCGAGCTGCCCAGGCCGTCCGGTCCCACCCGGGTCCCCAACGCACCACCTGCGTGTGCCATCCTGACCCCCAGAGGCCCCCGTGAAGACCCCCCCCACAAGGATGTTGGGATGTGTTTTCCACAGCTGAAGTAAATATACTTGGAGCTGCAGGAAATGCTTCCAACTGACAGCGGTGGAGATATGTCGGCTTCAACCAAAGAGGATCAAATATCCCACTGAGGATCCGGTTGAGGTTCCCCCCCTTCATATATCGAACGCTAAGCAGGATTCTATGTCCGCTGCATCATAGGAGGTGAGTGTTCCTCCTCCTAATTTTGTGCTCTCAGGGAGTCAAAATGTGCAGAGATTCCAGGTCCCCTTCTATGAAGCAGGTACATTAATGGAATGAGTGTGTCTATCAGCAAATATTAGGGAGTGTTTAGTACAAAATGTACCCATATAACAATCTCCTCCTAGAAAGAGCAAGTCCTGGACATTGCGGGAACATGTTTAAAGGAAGCATTTCACGGTGCATTGGGGTGCCAGCCTTTAGCCGAAGAAGATAGCGCCTTAT